ATGACCTTTTGGATACCCATGAAGCTTCCGATAGGCATTGATGTGATGACCATCATCATCACAATGAGTGCAATGAGGCTGATTTTTGGAAGATCCAAAGCGGCGGTCTTCATGGTTGGAGGTTTGGGAACGGTTTTGGTTTGACCAATTGATGCGAAGATCATCACGGTTGGTGGACCGATTCTAATTGGGTCATCCAGTTCTAATATCCATGGTTGCAGTATCAAAGGTTCCAGCAGCTCATGAGGCTTCAAGCATGCGTTACTTCTCTTCTTGGCTGACGAAAGCGTATGCTTGGAAAACGGATCACAAGGGATTCATTGTTGAAATATAAGTGGTGAGCTGATGAGAGTGTGATTAAAGTCCCTAAGCTGAAATGGTGTATTCACTTAGTCTCTAAAATAGGCAAGTGTGAGGCGTCAGTTAGTGTTAAGTGGCTATAGCCACGTGTAAAGATCTTAGAAGGCAGTTTTGGATGTAAGGCTGTGATTCTCAAGTGATGTAAGAGAATCCAGCTATTTCTCTAACAGTCATATAGCACACACTGTGCTTGCCCGAAAGTTTTTAGAGCATACAATACAAAAATACAGAAGTTTTGTTTTAGCTTAGCTCTCGGTTTTCTCTTGCATATTGTTTTTCTCTTCTTCTTCAAAACCTATACAAAACTCTAACATGGCCTCAGAGCCAGGTTTCGGTGTCTTGATCTGGGCGTAAAACTGTGAAGGTCACTGAGCTAAAATCGAAGCTCAGCTAAGCATCGGAGAAGAGAAGCAAGCTGCTGAGATTCAGACCAAACGATGGCTGGATCTGGAAGTTCTGAGGTACGAACTCCGATCTTTTCCGGTGAGAACTACGAGTTCTGGAGGATCAAGATGGTGACAATCTTCAAATCTCTTGGGCTGTGGGGTCTGGTAGAAAAGGGGATTCCAGTCTCTGATTCGAAGATGAAGACCAAGAAAGTTGAAGAATCATCGGAGGAAGAAGCTGAAGCAGAGATGTGTGCTGTGCTCATGAAGGATGCAAAGGCACTGGGCATCATACAAAACGCTGTCTCTGATCAGATCTTCCCTCGGATTGCAAATGCCGATTCAGCAAAAATGGCTTGGACTCTGCTCTACAGTTAATATCATGGAGGTGATCAGGTTAGATCTGTAAAGCTTCAGAATCTTAGACGAGAATTTGAGTATATGAGGATGCATGAAGGTGAACAACTTACTGCATATCTTACTCAATTAAATGAATTGATAAATCAAATGAAAACATTTGGAGAGGTGTTATCAAACGAGAGGCTGGTTCAAAAGGTGTTAATCAGTCTTAGTAGAGTTTATGATCCCATCTGTTTGGTGATTGAAAATACAAAGAGTTTGGAGACCATTGAATTGCAGGAGGTTATTGCAATATTGAAGAGTCAAGAGCAACGTTTTGACATGCATAATGTGGACATAGCTGAGAAAGCATTTGGTTCTTTCTCAATCGATCAAAAGGGGCAGAACAAGAATAATGCTCAGTCTGGTTCTGCCAAGTCTCAGAAGAGTTGGAAGCCTAACAACAAACCATGGGAGTCTAGACAGAAGCCACAGCAAGCTGGCGCTAGACAAACTTCAAATGGATCATATTCTGTGCAGCAAGATGGGGTGAAGCCTCAATGCAAAGTCTGCTCTAAATTTCACTATGGAGAATGCAGATATAAGGGTCAATCCAAGTGCTATAAGTGTGATAGATTTGGACATTGGGCCAGAGACTGCACTGCAAACAAAGGCGGACAGAAAGCAAATAATGCAAGCCAAGTAGAAGTAAGAGGGAATCTGTTTTTTTGCAAACTGTGCAATTTCAGAAAAGGGTGAAAATGGAGAATGGTATGTAGACAGTGGTTGCAGTAACCACATGACTGGGAAGAAGGAGCTGTTAATTGACATAAACTCAAAAGTCACAGGCAAGGTGCAAATGCCAACAGGGGAGCTTGTAAGTATAGCCGGCATGGGCACTTTGGTGCTTGACACAAACTCTGGTGCAAAGTATATCAGAGAGGTCATGTATCTGCCTGGTTTGAGAGAAAATCTCTTGAGTGTGGGCCAAATGGATGAACATGGTTATCATTTGGTATTTGGAAGCAGCATGTGCAGCATCTATGATAGTTCTTCTCTTGAGAACCTTGTTATGAAGGTGGAAATGAGAAAGAATAGATGTTATCCATTATCATTACCCTCAAATGATTTTGTTGCACTAAGAGCTGGTGTAGTCAACTCTACTTGGGTTTGGCATAAAAGAATGGGGCATTTACACTTGAAAGGCCTAAACCAACTCAAGGAAAAAGAGATGGTACATGGGCTGCCACATTTGGAAACTGTAAATGAAGTGTGTGAAGGCTGCCAATTAGGAAAACAACACAGAGAGTGGTTTCCTAAAGATCAAGCATGGAGAGCTAGTACACCTCTTGAACTTATACACATGGACTTGTGTGGACCAATGCAAAATGAATCTCTAGGAGGTAACAAATATTTCATGTTACTCATAGATGATTTTACAAGGATGATTTGGGTCTACTTCTTGAGATACAAGTCGGATGCACTAAATTGTTTTCGAAAATTCAAGTCTATGGTGGAGTTGCAAAGTGGTTACAAAGTGAAATGTGTTCGAAGTGATAGAGGGGGTGAGTTCACTTCTAGTGAATTCAATAAACTATGTGAAGATGCAGGGATTCAAAGACAATTCTCCATGGCTTACACACCCCAGCAAAATGGAGTGGTAGAGAGAAAAAATATGACTATGGTAGAGATGGCTAAGGCTATGTTGCATGAGAAGGAGCTGCCCTATTATCTATGGGCAGAAGCTGTCCACACAGCAGTGTACATCTTGAATAGATGTCCTACTAAGGCTCTTAGGGATAAGACTCCTTTTGAGGCCTATAGCACCAGAAAACCAGGTGTTGCTCATTTAAAAGTGTTTGGCAGTGTGTGTTTCGTGCATAAACCAGAGGAGAATAGACAGAAATTGGATGCCAAAAGCACAAGGGGAGTTTTTGTCGGATATGCAACATGTGAGAAGGGTTATAGAGTGTTTGATCCTATCACTAGAAAACTACTCTTATCAAGGGATGTTGTATTTGATGAAGGAACAAGCTGGAATTGGAAAGAAGTGTCTGACAATTCTGTGGTTATGATGAACTTTGAGGAGCAGCCTAGAATTTCTCAAATGGATTCGTTTGAGACACCTATAGGGCCTCAAAATTCTGGTTTCCCTGCTGGAAACTCAGCAGCTTCCTATGGAGAATCAAGCAAGGAAAGCAGTAGGTTGGAAGATACTCAGACCTTCGATCATACACCATTGAAATGGAGGAAGTTGGATGACATTTTGGCACAATGCAACCTGTGCACAATGGAGCCTGAGAAGTTTGAAGAAGCTGTGAAGGAGGAATCATGGTTGAAGGCAATGAAAGATGAGTTGAATATGATAGAAAAGAATAAGACATGGGAACTTGTTGACAGACCTATGGAAAAACCAGTTATTGGAGTTAAATGGGTGTTTAAAACTAAGCTAAATTTGGATGGCTCAGTGCAGAAGAATAAAGCAAGACTGGTGGCCAAGGGATACTCACAAAAACCAGGGGTGGACTACAATGAAACGTTTGCACCAGTGGCTAGATTAGACACTATTCGAACCTTGATTGCCCTTGCAGCTGAGAAGGGTTGGCAGCTGTACCAATTGGATGTCAAGTCAGCTTTTCTAAATGGTATTTTAGAGGAAGAAGTGTATGTAGACCAGCCGGAAGGATTTGTGGTAAAAGGAAGTGAAAGCAAGGTTTACAAACTACACAAAGCTCTATATGGCTTGAAACAGGCGCCAAGAGCTTGGTATAGTGAAATTGATGGTTATTTTGCTGAGTGTGGATTTACAAAGAGTCAAAGTGAAGCTACACTTTATGTCAAAGCAAGAGGTGCAGAAAATATCCTGATAGTTTCCATTTATGTAGATGATATAGTCTACACTGGAAATGATCATGAAATGCTAGAAGATTTTAAGAAGGACATGAAGGAGAAGTATGAAATGACTGATCTGGGACTCTTGCATCACTTCTTGGGAATGGGAGTCATTCAAACACCAACAAGCATATTCATTCATCAGAAGAAATATGCAACAACTCTGTTAAACAGATTTGGTTTGAGTGAGTGTAAACCGGTGTCTATTCCACTAGTTACCTCAGAGAAACTAAGTAAGGATGATGGGAGTGGTTTGGCAAGTGAAGAGCAATATAGAAGGATTGTTGGGAGTCTGTTGTATCTCACAGCTACTAGACCCGACATTATGTTTGCAACTAGTTTGCTTGCAAGGTTTATGCATTGTCCCACTAGCAAACACCTTGGAACAGCAAAACGTGTCCTTAGATATGTAAAAGGAACCTTGGATTATGGTCT